TTCTCGTTCAAGCACAGTAGAATTGTTAATGGGCTGATTCATCATGTCACGCTCATAACTGTGCCTGATCTGCAACAGGGAACTGCTGCCTTTTCTTTCCTAATCTTTTCTATTGTCATTTTCCTCTACTTCTTTTGAATGTTTGTCACTCTTGTGACCTGCTATTTCCGGGTGCCTTGATGGTCGAAGCAGACTTTGTGCTGTTGTAGCAAGAGAGGTGAGCAGAGTAAGTCTGATTCCCCGTGTAAGGATTTCTCTGTTGACACCCACCCATTGGCGCTCATATGACCTTATGCAGCTGCGAGCGCCGTAAAACCCTCTACTATCATCATCGATTGGGATACTTGTTGGAGCGTTGAGTTAGCTGCAAAGAATCAATAGTTAGTATATCATTATTGTTAATGAATATTTGTGATTATTGGGATAAAGGTTTGAAGTGCTGAGTTCGTTTCACGGAGTCTCTACTTACTATATTACTATATTAGTATCACTTTGTGTGATTGGGATACGGGTTGGAGAGCTGAGTTAGTTGCAATGAATCAACAGTTACGGTACTAGATCTATATTATCATTGTTGATGAGCATTTGTGATTATTGAGATATGGGTTGGAGCGTTGAGTTCGTTTCAGTGAGTCACTACTTATTATTTTAGTGGTTTTTTGTGTGGTTAGGATACGGGTTGGAGGGCTGCGAAAGTTGCAATGAGCCAATAGTTACTATTGCTTTTTTGTCTACGACAGGGGTCATCGAACTGGCGTAATTCTTTTCCGCACCCACCTGAGCAGGGCACACCTGTCTCTGAGAAATTAACGAAGTGTGGCGCAATGTTTATTACTTTCCAGACCTTTCTCTGATACTGAGTAGCTTGGCACTCATTTGGAGATCTAGAGTGGGCTTTTGGCTGGTGCTCTGCCTTGTTTGCTCCGTCTTTACTATCAAACATCTTTCGTCCTTATTTCTCTTCCTTCTCTTTATAGTATGTTACTTTGTTGTAAAACAATATCTTCTTATCTTCGGTGCTGCATATACAGTCAATCATCTTGTATTCCCACCTCTTTTCATCTCTATTTTTGTTTGTTTATTTATTATTTCGTTTTTCATTTTTCGTTCTTTGTTTTCTTCTCTTTCTCTATCTTGTTGGTGTCTCCGCTGATGTCTTTCTCTCTGTCTTCTATCATCTCTGGCTGCTCTCTTCCTATCCCCCTCTCTTTCTCTTCCTCTCATTGTCTGCCTCTTTCTCACCACCTGTCTTCCTCTCTCTCTCCCTCTCTCTCCCTCTCTTATATCTAGTTTTGCTCCTTCTAATTCCGTTCAACCTCTTCTCTCTATTTTCTCCTCCAATAACCCCACTTACAGATATATATATATATATTCAGACTGAATGACAGACAGGCAGGCATTGCAAACTTGTTGACAGACAAATCGAGAATGAGCGAGATAAATGCACAGACTGACCATGACGCACAAGTGGGCAAACATAACAATGGGCATAACATTTTCATACTATATTTTTTTCTGGACACGTGCCATATATACGTTTGGCTTCTCTCTGCACTCAACACAAAGGTTTCCATATTTTGCCATGATAATCTGGGTGCACTATACACGAAAGGCGCAATCCTTTTTTGCTCACTCAAGCGTAATAGATTATCTCTCAGGCATACCCCTGTGAGGAACACGCCAAAGAAATCGAACACTGTTAATCATTTCTCTCACAATGATGACATCTTTTGTTGCGGTGAAGACGTGGAATGTGCTGTTAGAAACATAATTATGTGAGGCAGCGTGGTGGAATCAGGCTCTCGTCAAAATAATCAAAGGGAAGAAACTTGCATTTTTCCGCTGGTTTGTGAATTTTTATCAAATTTTTGTTTTTTGGCTCAACACCTTTCATGCCCATTAAAAAACTCATTTCTGTGGAATGTTTCTGAAAAACGTTGATTAAAGGCACAAAAAATGTAACTTTTCAGTTACCACGGACTCTTAAGCTAAGGAAATAACTAATCTTTGGCGGCCATTTTCTCACTAATTCTATATCTGAAAACAGGTGACCCCACCTTCTTCATCTGCAAATATCTATTCTTGTACTCAAGATAAATGAATATTTTTTCATCCCCCCAAAAAGACAAGTGAACAATGTTTAAGATGATACCAATAACTCTATATGCTCAAAAACTGTCGAGAGCCTGATTTCACCACGCTGCCTCACATATTGTTTTTCCTTTTCTAAACCTCCCTTAAATCGTTTCATGTGAACTATTAATCTGGATAAATCAATAGGTTAGTTGTCTTTATTTTTGTTCACGCTTTCAGTCTAAAATCTATTGTATTGAACAAAATAGTTATCATGGGTGCTCTGGCGTGGTTTGCTTCTTTTTTCCTATCGAACATCTATCCTTCTTCTTCTTCTTCTTTTGTTCTGGTTTGTATGTTACTCTCTATGAGTGATACGGCACTTATATGACCCATTTTGTGTTGCAAGTGCCGTAAAACTCTGACTAAAATGGAAAAACTAAAACTAATAAGACAGGGCATATATCAGCTGTCCCTTCAGTGGAATAAAAGAAAAAAAGCAACCGCGTGTAATATCCACGCCTACAAAAGCTATAATCCCGCTACTTACCAGTCCATTTACTGAAAACAGTTTCCAGTCTTGAAGAGCTGAGATTTAAAAAAACAAGTGAGGAGGTGTTAGACGGAGGTGTGAGGTTTGTGTGTTTGCTGGGGGTGGGGGGGGGGGGGATGAATTACTCCTTAACGCCTCATCACGAAACGATTTTCTCCTAGTGGCAACAAATCATTGCACAAGATCAAAAGGGATCTATCTGCACTTAAAGAACTTTTGAGGTATTGGACGTTACAGTTAATGGGTTTTAAACGCAACATTAGATAGAATTTTTTGTGTGTGTTATTTTTCACGTTGCAAAATAGTCATTTAATTTCAGAGCGAAACGTTGATCCCCATTTAAAGCATTTCAAATAGAGCCCGTGATAAACCGTAACTCGAAACATCCACAGAATGCAGACAGAGCCATTTTACTCTCACACGACGAAATTACAACCCACTGCCAAGTTATGGTGCAGACTTTATGTACACAGAATCTAGAAGTACCCTTTTTTATTTTAATTGCTTTTTTGGAAATAGATTTATTATTCAGGGTATAGCTTACACTGGAGACGAGACAAGTGGTTTTATCAGAGAGTGTAAGTGTGTCTCAAGAACCAATGGGCAGTTCCTCTCTTCGAGCACCTGGTTACATTTTCCCTCTCTGACTGTCTGTCTGTCTGTCTGTCTGTCTGTCTGTCTGTCTGTCTGTCTGTCGGTCTGTCGGTCTGTCTGTCTGTCTGTCTGTCTGTCTGTCTGTCTGTCTGTCTGTCTGTCTGTCTGTCTGTCTCTTTATTTCTCCTGTCTTCGTCTCTCTATCTTTCTCTCTTTCTCTCTCTCTCTCTCTCTCTCTCTCTCTCTCTATCTCTCTCTTGAATTATGTGTGCGTCTGTCTGTGTGCCTATCTGTCTATCTGCCTGACTGGCTCTCAGTCTATCCCTCATTATTTTTCCCGGCACCGACTGACGGTCATTGTGACCTCGTCCTATTTCTCGTGAACCCAAAACCTGTTTCGCCCCGTCTGTCTCAACTCCCAGCTCTAAGGTTTGAACAACGGGGAAAACGAAAACCTTCTTTACAGGCAGGGCGCTTGCCATAAGGTTACCAGGTACAACTAACACTATCGCTATCAATCATCTAATAAGTTTTAGTAAGCATACAAAACACTAAGATCTTACAGATGCCGAAGAT